TGCTTTCGAAAGCTTTTTGAAAAGGTGTCGGTGTGAAAAGTATTTTTGATTTATTTTGAAATTTAGAGCAAGTATCTAGAGTCGTCTACCTACCCTAAGGAATTCGTCTGTGTAAATGTCCTTTAAAGTAGTGCCATCCCACCATTGAGAGGTAGGTAGCACCACCGTTGGAGGTGTTCGAGTCAATTCGAGGTTCGGGACATGGTGATCACCGGAGCAATAGGGAAGACACCTTAGAAGCTACCCTCATGCCAGGTTTCCGGATCATGAGGACTTACTAAGACATCCTCTACTCGACGATCACCTTTCGAGGCAAGGCAACAGTGAGGCGTACCCTAGGGGTGGTGTGTGATTTGTGTGTCGTTTTCAGATATTTTGTCTTGTTCATGTTATTGGTGATCTACGCTTTTGTTTTTATTTTAGGCCATTCATTCTTGCATGCATTTGTTTATAGTTAAAAAAAGTTGCGGAAATTAAAGTTCCTAAACTATTATACAGGTGCGGGTCCACATCGCCAAAGTTAATCCAAGACCCGATTTGACAGAAAGTAAATAAAGAAATAAAATAAAGTGTGAGAAATTAAGTTTACAAGGCTTTGGGAGAATTACATAAATATTTAAAAGAAGGAAATAAATAAAAATGCGCGAATAGGAATTAAAATTGGAAACGAGGGCGTTGGACCCTTTTTAATGAAATTAAATTAAATGATTAAACTAATGAAATTAAAGAGAAAAAAGAAATTATTTTTTTTTTTGAGTTTTTGGTATTTATGTTTTTTATGGATTTTTATGAGAAAGATTAAATGAAATTAAAATATTAACCCTAATTCTAATTTTTTTAATTTATTAAGAAAAACATGTTAAAATTAAACCTAAAATTAATCTAATTATTTACATGCAATTTTGATTTATAAAAATAAATAATTAATTATTAGTGAAATTTATTTACAAAAAATATTAATTAAATAAATATATTTTGATTTTTATGACTTTTCTGTTTTTTACTATTTTTTATATTTTATGAAAATAAGTTAAATTAAAGGAATTAATTAAAAAAAGAAATAATTGAAATAAATAAAATAAGGAAAAGAAAGAAAATACAATACCTTGGAGGGTTTCTGTCCCCTTTTTGGAGGTGAATTGGAGTGGTTTGGCCATTTGTGTTCTGGCCTCATCATGCATAAGTTGTTCTACTTTGGCCATTTGGCTTTTGGCTTTTGGCCATTTGCGTTTTGGCCTCAACGTTCTTTAATCTTCTCAGGATGTCTGCCTCGCCATGTATTGGTGTCATGTGTAAAATGTTCTGTTTTGGCCATTTGGCTTTTGGCTTTTGGCCATTTGCGTCTTGGCCTCAACGTTCCTTAATGAACCTGCATGGGATCCTGTCTAAATCTGCAACCTCATGAACACATTAAATAAAATCATAAAAATTCAAATAAAACCAACATATGAAGAAATTTAATGTTTAGGCACAATATGGCATGTATGAATGATTATACCCTTTTGATCATGGAGATCAAATCAACCTTACCCTTACTGGAAAAGTAGTGACATGAATGCTTTTATGCCCTTTGGATCATGGAGATCAAGCCAGCCTTACCCTTACTGAAGAAGTAATAAGATGTTGGTTTGTAACTGAGATGGCTTGTTTGTAGTGAGAGAGGGATTTGTAATAAGGATTTCAAGGTTTTAGGATTCTTGAAAGAGTTTGATATTCTAACAGTGTTGTGGCAAGGTTTTTTTTCTCTCCTTTCCTCCTCCCTGGTTTGTGTGAAAAGGAGGTGATTATATAATGGAAATTAGAGTAAAGAAAATGGGCTTTGAATGTGCAATTGGGCCTCCAATGTTCACTTGAGTTCGTCACTTTCCAGGCTAAATCGCAGGGACTTAAGTGCATTTTTTGAAGTTGAAATGTGAAAACAAAATGTAGTCGACATCGAGAACTAACTCTTGTCCGAAAATCGACTCAATCGGATAAACGGTGAATTAGTTATGAATTTTTGAAGTTTCAGCTCGGACAAACTTATTTTGGGCTCCAGTGTCGACTCTGACACGTTCTTCAATAAAAAACTGGTATTGATCGGAGCATAATCCGGTCTCGACTTTTGAAGCAAAGTTGTAGATCTATGAGTCAGTGACCTTGTGTAAAAATATGAGTCCAATCCGATAAAAATTGACCGAGTTATGAATTTTCGAAGTTTCGGCCCAGATGAAATAATATTCAGCATTCAGGATTTTCAGCGTGTCACGCACTCTGAGCAAAAAACAAAGGCCTTTTGTATACCGTTTGAACTCAATACCTTCTGTGAAAATGTAGTCAACTCAATTTGTGAAATTTTGGCACCGGAACCAGCTCGATACGATGAAAATCGACCAAGTTATGATTTTTTGAACATGATGCAAATAAACTTCTGTCACAAATTTTCTGCACGAAAATACTTGATAAATCCACATTTTTGAAGACCTTCTGATCGAAATTGGCTTCCAGCCGTGAGAGATGAAAACGTAGATAATGTCAAGACGGAATTTTGGCCACCGGAACGGGTTCAAAACGAGCCACGATCTTCAAGTTATGAATTTTTTAGCGCGTAAAAACTGCACTTTCAGCACACTTTTTCACCATATTTCTTCGAGAAAACTCACACATTCGGATACCTTCTTTAAAGAATTGACTCTTGAGCCGAACCTGAATTTGAGAATACGTTATCAGAGATATCTTGGCGAAAGAATACCTGAATATGACGCGCCAGGTTGGACTTGTGAATTTTTCTTGAAACGTTTTGAGAAATATGGGAGGGCAAATTTTGGGGTACAACAATCACCATTTTCAAAATAGACGTGCTTCCCTAAAATGGATCACCTTATAACATATGTATATGACAAAGTGTGTATCGATCTGTCAAGATATTGGTTCTTGGAGACATTTATTCCATTGCAGAGTGGTCAACCTAAAAACACATTCAGATACAACATGTGCATTGGTTTTCTTTCAAAGAGCCTACATTTTGTTCAGGTTTATTTGAAACCTGTGTGTCCAATTCCAGCTATATCAATGGAGTGGACGAGACATTCAACAATTGAGACGGAAACTTGATCAGATCAATTTATGGAGAGGATGATACACTTCACCAAATTTATGAAGCTTGAAAGAGAATTAAACAAGAAAGCATCGAAGGTGGAACAAGCTATAAATTTATGCGGTACTGGATCTTTTGATGCATTTTAGATTGTAATCGATACACTTTTTTGTATGTACTAATTTTGATACGATGTAATATACATGAATTTTATGGTTAACTTTTGGTTTACATTGCATGTGCTTGTTTACAAAGTTTATGATTTTTTTCTGGTTCAGGTAAATTTTCGAAAATGTGACTCTGAAGTCACCCTTTTTGTTATGAAAATTGTGTTTTATTCGGAAATATAATTTAGAAGTCACCCTTTTTGTAATAAAACGTGTGGTTTATTCGGATATGTGACTCTGAAGTCACTCTTTTTGTAATTAAACGTGTAGTTTATTCGGATATGTCATTCTGAAACTTTACCTGATACAAGATAAGAATTTTGAGGTCTAAAATGGGCCAATACTTGTATAAATAGGGCGTGTCTCAACCCTTATTTGTTGCACTAACACATTAAAACCAGAGAGAATATGTTCACATCCCTAGCTTATATTTGTGTATTTCAATGGCGAGAAACCACCGCTTCTGTTTAGGATCACAGAGAAAACATCCCTCGCAGATATGACATCCAAACTTAATACTCTACTGCTCTTTCCAGAAAATCGCAGGGTTGTCAAACTTGAGTATCAGTCACCCTCATTTGACAGCGAATGAAATATCCATTTCACCAATGTTGAACTAAAAAAGAATGAAGATCTAAAGGTTACGTGGAGTATTTTTCTCCGTTATGAATCAAATGGTCAAATTTGAAGTGAATGCAAATATTCGAAGATCCGTCTAGGATATAATAATTATGTTGCAACGTCCCGGTGAAATGATTATATAATGTTGAATTTATTTGCATGACCATCTATGTAATTAATGCTTTTATTTAATGAAATGTTGATATCAATGTTGGTATATTTTTGATTATATTGTCGTATTTGCATTCATGTTGTCTAAATTATGGAAGCAAATATAATTTGGAAGTATGTCTCTGAACACACTCTTTTAAGATTTCAGAGATATATCTCCAAATTTATTTGTAATAAAAATAGTTTTTAGTGTATTCAGAATTACATACTTTAAAATAGAGAATATTTTAAGAATTTTACACAGGATTGAATGTTGACGGGTGGAATGCTAAATTGTTAAATTTAATATATAGTAAAGTGATCGTAGAACATTGCCTCTTGTAGGCTAGTCGGTTTGTTTCCCTTCGGGCTGCCTCTGCCCCCTCTTAAAGAAAAAAAAACAAATATATGATATATAAAAAGTTTTGTACAAAAGAATCACATAGCAAAAATCAAAGACAAAAACAAATTGTACTTCAGTATTGTTTTGGAGGTGTTGTACTTTTTAGTATTGTTGTAGGTGAATTTGTCACGATGCGGCACATCTCAACCATCTGTATACAATGCCGCGTAATCTTTGTCGAATATTCTCACAGTTGACAATGTTAGCCGAACCCATCATCCTTTTCCATTAAATCCTTAAACAAATCACTTCAAATATTCAAACATCTTTTAAATACCAGTACTAGTTTATTATTAGTAAAAAAATAAAATAAAATAATTAGCAAAATAAATTAATTCAATTATTTAATGAATATAAAGTTTTGTATAAACCTACATCACGAGAAATCCGATAAACCTAATAACTGTGAAAGCAGATACACAAAAAGTGAGACATGTCTAGTTGATAATACTCCAACTCTGTGTCCTACTTGCTCCAAATTCATTGACCTTGTTTTATTTTCTCACTCACAACCGCAACCGCAACCGCGATCTCAGAAGAAAACCCTTGATTTTCACTCCCCAATTAATTTCAGAATATTTGGATGGAGAATGATTCAGGTTCACCACAGGGTCCGGTTACATGTGGCTCGTGGATTCGGAGACCTGAAAATCTCAGTTTAGTTGTTCTCGGAAGGTCCAAGCGCGGGAATTCTTCTCCTTCTTTGCTTCAGATTTTCTCCTTTGACCCTAAAACTGTTTCCATCTCTACTTCCCCTCTGGTACTTGTCTTTAATTCTTAGAGTAAACCAATTTTTTCTGTGTATATTTTTTTAACGTTGAGCTTTTGGAGCTGTGGTTTTAATGATTTTTTTCAGGCCAATTTTGTGTTAGAAGCAGAAGAAGGTGATCCTGTTGCTGTTGCTGTGCACCCTAACGGCGATGATTTTATGTGCTCTTTAAGCAATGGTAGCTGCAAGTAAGCTTCTTTTTCTAATCATCATGGGAGATATTTTGTCTCTGAGTTATCATTGTTTCTCCTCTGGAGACAATTCAAGTTTTTCTTTTGTGGCTTGTAGACTGTTTGAGCTGTATGGTCATGAAGCAAACATGAAGCTCTTGCCCAAGGAGCTAACCCCTCTACAGGGTATTGGTTCCCAAACATGTATTACATTTAGTGTTGATGGATCTAAATTTGCTGCTGGTGGCTTGGTAAGCGTCACTCTAGATTCCAACCAATTGCATTTATTTTCTCTGCCACTTTTGACTTCTTCCCAACCGAGTCTTGTAACTTGTGTAGGACGGACGTCTCAGAATTATGGAGTGGCCTAGCATGCGCACAATTTTGGATGAACCTAAAGCACACAAATCTGTCCGGGATATGGATTTCAGGTTCAAAATTACTCAGCAACTCTATTTGGATCCTTCTAAAAATGCACTCATCTATGCATCCATTATAATTTTATGTAGATACAATGTTTTTGACAATTACAGTGTGCTTATATTATAAACATATTGATCCTGAAAATTTCAATGACATTGATACTTACTGTATTGTACTTTGTTTTGTCTTACTTCAGTCTAGACTCGGAATTTCTTGCTTCAACTTCTACTGATGGTTCAGCAAGAATCTGGAAAGTTGAAGATGGTGTTCCTGTCACTACTTTGTCTCGCAACTCGGTATAGTGTGATTGATTTCAGAACCTTCTCTGGAGTTTTTTTGACAAGAATATGTGCAGTTACTTGTACCCCCTTGATCTAAATTTTTATATCTTTAGGATGAAAAAATTGAATTATGCCGATTTTCCAAGGATGGAACCAAACCTTTTCTATTCTGTGCCGTTCAAAAAGGTATACGAGTATCTTCTTTTGAGTATATTCTAGACTATTAAATTTTTATTTGTATATCTGTCAAATCTCTTTTAATCAAGTATGGTCTTAATCACGATATCTCTACTTTTAAGCAGGGGATAAGTCTTTAACCGCAGTTTGGGACATGGGTACGTGGAACAAAATTGGGCATAAGAGGCTGCTTAGAAAGTCGGCTTCAGTAATGTCTGTTAGCCACGATGGGAAATACCTTTCTCTGTAAGAACCTATATTTGCCTTGTAGTAATACATGTCAATCGTTTTCTTATTTGATTGATGACACATTGTCTATATTAAAGCACATTTAAGTCACATTTGAATTGCAAGGTGGGATTTTGATTTTGGTCATGTTGCCAAAACTAAAGTCTGAAGAAAAGAATGTTTGCACTGATTGTGATTTTCCATCTTATTAAACGATCTCTGTTTTTCAACCTATAGCACTGCATTTAAGTTTAGCTTGCAGTGATTCCTTCTTTGAATTTCTTCTCCTGTAAACCCTTTCAACCTTTGCACATATAAGTCATCCAGGTCACAGACAGATTACCAAATTATTTTTTTGCTTCATTGCCGAGTTCTTTAACTTTTGTGTTCCTTACCTTTTCGTAATCTTGAGCACCTTGCTTGCATAATCTTGAGCTCATCGGATTTCTTTAATTTTAGGGCAAGTAAAGATGGAGACATATGTGTTGTTGAAGTAAAAAAGATGCAGATACACCATTATAGCAAGAGACTACACCTCGGCACAACTATTGCAACGTTGGAGTTTTGTCCTAGTGAAAGGTAAATGTCCATGCTCTACTGGTTTAATTTGCCACATTTTTTATAAATATCGATCATCATATGCCAAAAAGTTCGTTTTTATTAGCCTAATAAATCAACTCTCTTGGTCTTGGCTATTCACCTGAGCTTTTATTATCTTATGCAGGGTTGTACTTACAACCTCAGTAGAATGGGGAGCATTGGTCACTAAACTTAATGTACCTAAAGATTGGAAAGGTTCTCTCTCCCCTTCTCCCCTCTCTCTCACACACACACACACGCATGCAACGCACGAAATATAACGGAAATAATATTTTAACACAAATTTGACAATAACTTTGATGGTCAACACAATTCAAACATGTGGTTTGTTATTTTTGTTGAATGGTTAAAGAACACACAAGGTGTTTCAACTCATTAACCGTTCATTGAACATAATTAATAAATCACGATTTTGAACGTCATTAACCACAATTTTCAAGTGTCAAATTATACATGATACTCATCAATCATTCAAATTTTGTTCCAATATACACAATTTTCAGGTGATAAAATAAACATGATATCCATTAACTACGATCATTGTTTAAATAAACACCTGAAATATTGTGGTAAACGTCGTTCAGGATGATTAATGAGTTGCAGTACCTTGTTATATTGGTTAACCGTCCTGCGAAACACAGTTAACCTCGTATTTAAACCGTATTGACAACCTAATTTTTGTCAAATATGTGTATTAAAATAAAAAAGCTCAGAATGTTATGTTCATTGAATTTGACATTTTAAATTTGTTTTGAAACATGCAGAGTGGCAGATATACTTGGTGCTTTTAGGACTATTTTTAGTGTCAGCAGTTGCATTTTACGTATTCTTTGAAAACTCTGATTCATTCTGGGGATTTCCAGTGGGAAAAAACCAACAAGCAAGACCAAGGTTTAAACCAATGATAAGAGACCCTCAATCATTTGATGATCAAAACTCTTGGGGACCCGTAGATATGTAACCGCATCGAAATTCTTCGATGTGCTTCGATTGGAAGCAGTATCAGTAGTAGTTGTAATGCAAGTGGTAACAACATTGATCTCGGGGGATTACACATTGTAGATTTAGACAATTGATTGCTATTACGAGCATTTTACTTTGGTTTCCTTTTCACTTTGCTGAAATTTTTTAAAATTGATTTGTAATTTAATTTTATAAATAGGAATAGTCAAATTGGTTTTTCAAATATTGGAAGTTGCTCTAGAGGTTGTGATGTAACCATACGTGAATCTTTCACTCAAGACATTTGGGGCATTTTTTCCACTTACGATTTAGAAATTTCAAAATACTATATAGGTATTGGTTATATATATATATATATTTTTTTTTTGAGGCAATAAATGTTATATGACATTACATTTGAAATAGAAATCCTTTGCAAAAAATATCACATTTGAAATATAAATTATATTTCGACACCTTAATATAAGGTAATTAAGGTATCAATCCGTAATAAGAATAATTTTTCGGGAAAATTACAATGACTTTCTATGTGATTTATTAAAAAGACATACCTTTTTTTTTTTTAATTTTAAGTCACAACCTCTTACCAAAAACTCCTATGTGATTTATTAAAAAGACACATACATTTTTTTAAAAATTTTAAATCATATACAAAAGTCTTACCAAAAACTTTAGGTAAATTTTAAGGTTAAATAAGTTTTTGGTTCCACTATATATTTTAAATTTCGCTTTTAGTCTTTTTAAATTTTTCCCTCAAAAAATGGTTCTTTTAAAAAATTAAATTTTAATTTTTTGTTTCTCCTGATAAAACCGTAGTTTTGTTTCTCCTGATAAAACCGTAGTTAAAATGATCTTTAATTTTGTCGCTAAAATCGTTGCTAAGTTGTAAAAATCGTTACTAAATTGCAGGAGAGACCAAAAGTTAAAATTTAATTTTTTAGGAGGACCATTCTTTAAAGGAAGATTTTAGAGGGACTAAAAACAAAATTTAAGATATTTAGAGGAATCAAAAACTTATTTAACCCTAAATTTTATCTATACTTACAGTTTTTTACTGTCACTGAAAATTATAGAGAGTGTCATCTTATTAGATCTCGAGAGAGGTCAATACATATTTAAAAATTAGAAGGGAGTGTTAGTATCATTTATCATAGATTTGAATTCGCAATTATAAATAATTAATATTCTTGTACAATTATCAACTAAGTTGTTTGATGCATGTGATAAAGTGTTTTACTCTAGACATTTAATACAACATAATGTTTTAATATAACACAGATTGAGTAGTACTAAGAAAATCGATTTGAAGTATTAAAAAATAATACTAAGTTTCATTTACCTATTTTTTTTGGAATAAATTATTAATTTATTTCAGAAGAAGATTATTGCATCCAAAAAGAGAGTGGGATTAAGAACTTAAAGAAAAGAGCTTATTCTTTATGGTGTCCTATTCTTTATTGTGTCCTGTTTAATTTAAGGTAAGGAGTTAAAGATAATGAAGGAAGTAGACATACGGTATAATTAGCAAATAAATTTACACATTTTTTTTCTCTGAATATGTGTGAGATGACAAAATAGGTCTTACGACACTCCAACTATCTAGATAGGGGTATAATCGATTTAATTTGGATTGATGTACGGTGAAAAAGATGTCTGAATTGATAATATCTTTATTGATTTAATTTTGTTTAATTTTTAAGATTTTTCAGAAATAGAATCAATCTAAACTATTTGATTTAATTTGGTTTGGTTTAATTTGATCGATCGGTTTACAAATATTTTATTTATTTATTTATTTGTGTATTCTTTACTATCATATTTTTTGGTGTATGTTATGCTATTATTTTTTTAAATAATACCTTTCATATAATTTATTTCTTAATCTATTTTTTCAAATATCTTACAAGTTATTCTTAATCCATACGAAACAATGATGTGATTTCTATTGCTTCATTAAATAAGTTCGCTATCAATATAAAAGTTGACACTTGCCATCAAAATGCACATAAATTAACATGTTTCCCACCTCAAACACACATCAAAACTATTTTGTGACAAGACTAGAAGAAATTTCGTTGAAGAAGAAACAAAAAAAATAAAAATAAAATAAAATTAATGAAGATAACTTGAACACGAAGAAGACAACCATAACATATCAGAACAATAGTAGAGAGAGTAACAATGGCGACAGCCGCCGAAAACAACATTTCGTTGAAAGCAAGTTTTTGTAACTTATTTCTATTTTTTTTTTTTTTTTTATGTTTGGAGTTTGATTCTAACTACGTGTTTTGTTGAAATGAATGAAGTATAAACAAAAATATAGAAAAGTTGGACAAATACAAATTTTAACCTTAATAATGAGTGAAATAAAACATTTAGAGCATAATTATAATCAATTATTTAGTTTATCGATTTGACGATTATTAAAATTTAAAATCGAAAACCAAACTTAAACACCTCGATTTTTGTTGGTTTGATTTGATTTTAAAATCAAACTAGAAACAATCATTTAATTTAATTTAAATTATCAGTTTGATTGATTTTTTTATCCGCTTATATTTCTACATCACTTAATTTTTATTATAATAAAGTAGTTATATTCTCTAACAAGCCTTTAAAAGAATATTATTTATGATATTTTCACTACCCATTATAAAAAGTTAAATATTTTATTTTTAATCAATTATTTATTAATATTTAATTTTATCATATTTAATATTTATTAAATAGTATAGTTATTAATTTTTTTCAAAATATATTATATAAGATGGTTGTACTCAACTTTTTGTGATAGATAAATAAGAATTTATCTTGTTTAATATTATGCAAATCAAAGATGTTATTGAAAAAGAAAAGTATAAATATATATAATTAATTTTTTAATAATAATAATAATAATCATCATTTAATATAAAAGAATTAGTTAAAATTTTTTTTATTATAAATTTATATTTTTTGTTTACATTTAGAATGGGTGTGATTAATCTCAAATCTAACATAAATGATTAAACTTAATACTTATTCCTAAATTTATTTAAATCATGTTATTTATTTCACAATAAATATGTGTATTCTCAACATTGTCATCGATAAGAAATTTACTCTAAGAGAATAAAAAAAATACTCATATTAATTTGCTATTTTTAGAATGACATGTTTATAATAACATTTACGAATCAGTTTTTTTTTTGATAAAATTTTGTATTTGACAATATATAGTTAATTTTATATTAATTACTTTTAATGTTTCAATAAATAATATCCACCACATGCCATTTTGTGTATTACAATAAACATAAAAGTTATAAGTTTATTTAATAAACTTGCACAATCTTATAATGGGATAGTCCTCTATTCCACATTCTTAATAAGTTATAAAAATGATTACTTAATTTTATTGATAACTATTTATATGTCAAAATGGTATCTACAGTTATTATAAAAAAATTAAAATATATTCTCTTGAAGCTACAAGACAAGGAAACTATAGAAGTAATCAAATTTCATAAAAAAGTGGAGTAAAGAATATAAAAATTTATTAATCAATAATAATAGATATATTTTGTTCTATTTTTGTTTATAAAAAAATATTAAATTATAATTTTAGTCTTTTTATTTTAGTCAATTCACGAAATTAATCTTCCTATTTATTTTTAATTAATTTTAGTTTTGATATTTATTTTTTCGTCTAAAAAAATATTAATGTGTCATTTTCTTTATATAAATGACATACTTTGAAAACAAAAAAGAATATAGAGAGCATTTTTTAGTGAATTGACAAGACGAATGAACAAATAAAAAAAGAAAAAAGACGAAGAAGATGACCGAAGAAGATAATTGAAGAAATAAAATATTATAAAAAATATAATAAATAATTAATCTTTTTTATACAAAGTTAATAAAAATATTTGATGTATCTAAAAAATAACACACAATAGTATTTTTTGGACAAAAATAGACATGAGAAATCAAAATTATTTAAAAGATAAATAGGAGATTAATTTTGTAATTGGCCAAAATAAGAGATAAAATTTAACCAAGAAAAAAACATTATTTTAAAAAATATACTACTACGTACATCTTTCCAATATAAGAAAATCTATAGGATCAAATATTATTATTTTTAATCGTATAATTAAATCATATTTCTAACTAAATAATATTAAATTAAAAATTGCATATATCAATATGAAATAAATTATATCTTCAAACAACTCAAAATAAATTCATCTAAAAATTTAAATATTCATAATAGAACTATTCACAAGTAGGAGTAAAAATAGGCTGGATCTTGCAAAAAAAAAAAATCGAAGCCTAAGCCTGACCTGTAATTTATCATGGATTTATTTTTTAGGTTCGAACATGGTCTTTTTGAAGGTATGATTAGCCTGTTAGCTTACGTAAAAGTCTATTTATTTTAGACATATATAAATAAATAATTCAAATAATATTTAAATAAACTAACAAACTAAAAGATCAATGAAACTAAAAGTTTGTTTGTATTGACTTATTTTAACTTATAAGTTTTGCGAGACTATTTATTTAAGAGAACTCATGAAAACAACTTATGACATTGCTCATAAGGTGTTTTCATCTTATTTTCACAAGTTCTTCAAGATAACATAGTTTTATTTATGTATTTTAATCAAAGTACAAATTATTCATATTTATTTTAATAGGTCGGTCTGATAGATTTAAAAGGCTTTTTTTAAGACCTGAGGCCTAGCTTTTTTTTTAACTAAATAGACTTATAAAAAAGTCCAGGCCTTTTCTATTTAAAGAAAAAGTATGGCCTGAGCCTTTGTAGGCTAGGTCGTAGGCCTCTATTAGCGGCATGACCTATTTCCACCCTTATTCATAAGTAAATGCTTTACGGATGAAATAGAAGTTCAACGCTACTGTGACATTGGTCCATATCTCGAAAACTCTTTGGCCAATTTTTTGGAAATTTCTTAACTCACTCTATAGTTTTCTGGCGCACCATGCAAAAATACCTTT